CCCCATCGTGTTTCTGGGTTATCTATTCTGACGTCTCACACCGTCAGTTTTATAGTTCGCCCGTGACTGTAGTCGCCGTTGAAGTTGACGGTTTGGTTTCGGGAATATAGTGTATAATGCGAAAACCGCGCCTACTCACCCGATATTTGTTGTGTTATCATTTGGAGGGCGACCGCCAATAATGCAAATCTGTCCACGGTGACCAACGTTAACTTATTATTCGTGTGTTTGGGAGTTTGAAGTCGCCGAAAATCGGCTTAGTCAAAATAGACCGATGCATCTTACTCCAAATGGGATGAAATAAGGCAAGTCTATTGAGCACACAAAACTAGCGCTCTGGCAGAGTATAGGGCAAACTTAGGATACTTTCTTTCCTCTTGGCAGGATTCGCTTTACCAACCGGGGTAGCTGTGTACGACCACGAAACACTGGTCCGTTCAACAACGTGTCGACCGCCAGCATCATCTCCGAGACTCGAATAGTCCATATTGTTCAAATTTGACCTCCCTCATACCGAGGCTAACGCTCTCAACGACGACCTTTACGAGTATTGATTAGGGTTCCCTCGAAGCCCATTGCTTTACGCATCTCTTGTTTCGCTTTTGAAAGTTTTTTTTTTCACAGGAATTCCCCATAGCTATACATCGGTTCACACATATTGTTATTTGCCCAAGAGTCCCGTTTGCTACCACATAATTCGGACTCAAACTAGCCCGATCAGGTCTCATGCACTTAGGCAGAAGATGTTCATTCGTCTCTCTACCGCTACGGTACTGTCATCACGGATCCCTGCACAATAGCTGGGCCTGTGTTTATATGCTCCCATTAGGGCAGTGTGTCCCGACTGTAGTTGTAGGAATGCTCCATTGTTTCGGCGGCATACGACCCTTCTCAGAAGGGCCTTCTAACACACTCTCTCTGTCTCGAGCTTCTCAGCGCTCTCTGCAAGCTCTCTGATAACGTCGAAACCATACGTACGTACTCGGTGCCGCTTAAGGTGGGACTTGACGACATCCATGTTTTCCTTCTGGTCATTCCTATGAATTCCCCAGCCTTAGAGAAGTTCCCAGAGCTTCTCTATCCTGGCGCGTGCCTTTCACAGACCCCTTGGATACATGTATATTGATCACTCTCTCAACGATGAGATGAGAAAGAGGCATGGATCCCGCTGCAATATAGAGTAACGCCCGAGGCGTACTTCTCACTCTGAGAGCCTTCCGCAAAAAGCCCGAGCCGACGAGGTCAATATCATCTCTAACACTTTTACTCGCGATCACTTTACCCCAGACCTCATGTGCGTGGAGGATGATAGCAAGGACAATCTTACTATAAATTTCCACGAACACACTAACAGAGAGACCTTGCTCCTTCCCCATCACCGCTCCACATTGACGGAGGGCCACATTGCCGATATGCTTCGCGAGAGTCAACCTAGTATCCGGATGCTCACGAAATTACAACTCGCGCGACTTCAGGACCACCCTATCCACGCAGTCAGGAGTTGAATATTTCAATAACCATCGTGTAAAGTTCGATGTAACATGAACCAGGTGATGGTCTCGGATGTGTTTTGGGAGAATGTTGAGTAGTATCATCCCAACTATGCTTGATGGACTCATGCTTATACCTCGTTAGTGTAGAAATGTCAGTTTCAACCAAAGACCACAGGAGTGGTCATTGAGTGGTCATAGTGTTATCATCCACAGTTTCTTACATGAATTAACTGACACTGCGACTCTGCTGGATTGATGTACTGAGATATCCCAGAGTCCGCCATGACAATACTGAGGCGAATCTCAAGGCATGTACGTAGGTAGAACAACGGCTTATTCAATCACGGAATGCATGTTCATGAGTCATAGTGAACAGGACTGGCCACCATCAAAGAGCTCGCCTTCCGCGCCTGTTGAGGGGGTTCGACTGGGTGCCAGTCGAAGGCCCACAGGAACAACTCATGAAAGCCGAGCACATGCTGATAGTGAATACACTCCATAGAAGCTAAACGTCATTCTTCTGAATGATTCTTCCTTGATTTCAATGCGGACTGCCGAGACCAGGGCAGCCGTGAACAACCTACCCCACAAGACTGGCAACACTGAAGGACACATGAGCCGAAGGATCAGCCCTAGTACTCGACCTAGATGGGTCGAAGGCATGTTTCGAAAGCACGGCAACTGCGATGGCAACAGAGGTTGCTCCCAGGACATGGTATACGGCTCGTGTGAGAACTCAAGAGGACTGCTGACACCGATGGAAGATCATTGTGCTGGTCTCAGGCATTTGGTAATTATACTCCGAAGCTGTGAACAAACCAGAGTTGGTTGCAGCATGGGGATTTTGCTATAGTACTAATAGTATAAAAATGTCGCGTTAATGTACTTCTAGCAGCAAACGAATCAATTAAGATGATAACTGCATTGTCAGGCTCACTGCTATTGTTGCTGCTGGTGAGGCATGAAAGATATCTGTACTTTAGAGTTTATCAAGTCGGGACCATATTCTTCGTATCTAAGCGCACAACAACAAGAGTTGAACAACGACAACCACAACAGCGACAACAACAATGCCCACTCTTCACGGGAGAGCCATCGATCCTCGAAACTGTCCTTCAGTGACGCGAAGGCGCTCCCACCGATCCATGCCGCCCATTCGGGATGCCGATGGGCTTTCTCTACGTGAACCTGGAGACGTCATAGACAAGATGAGAGTTTAGTCGGGCAGTGGCGGACTTGAGGGTTTCTATTATGACTGCGTCCCGACGTTGCAGTTCGTGAGTACTTCACTGAATGTTCTACTTCTGACCGAAGCCGATCCGCGAAGCCAGGAAATTGTGATGTTCCACCTGGGGAACATCTCAGGATCGACTCGAACGACAACTAGAAGTGCTCACCGGCGAGCATAATCTTCTTGTAAAGCTTCAACTTGTCATCAATAGGACAGTCCTCGATAGACTCGACCACCATATCCCCTATACCGCTCCCTTCTATACCCAACAGATGTGGGTGGAAGAGCGACTCAGGAACCTGATCGGTGCCTCATGACACTACGACTGTTGATCCCGAGCTTTCGGGACCTTCCACTTATCGTCCGCCATGTCGACGGTGGTGCCATCTGGCAGAGTAATGTGGGAGTCCTCCCCACCAGCACAGTAGCCATTCTCGTCGAAGTCGTCATCCGTATCATGCCAGCCAGGTCGGCAATAACAGATACTCTCCTTCAACTGTCTCAACTAACATCACCTTTGCGACGTCGGAACCCTGGACTAAGCCCTACTGTGAGACGGTCCTTTGTCGACGTTAGTCGGATATGGTCAGCACGTTTGGCGAGGCGCTCAGCCAGCTGGACGTCTAGGTCTGCTCCCCTAGGTAGAGCTTACGAATGCCACTAGTACGACGCATCTACTCAAGGCTATAGGGTCCTCGATAGACCCTCGCGAGCTACCCGTGAGAAA